CCCCTTAACATTTTGTTGCCTCCTCCCCTCCCTACCCCCATCCGCCTCTCCTTTGGGCTCACCGAAATCTGAGTGCCACTTTTCTGGGAAAGCCTGATATTCTGACTTCAGTTTTGTAATTTAATGATGGAGAGTTTCCTTAGTAAACCAAATTTAGAGTCCTAGAATGCTTATCTTATATCCAGACCTTGAACATAAAAGGCATTTTATACCCGCAATTGTTCATTTAATGAGCAATTGCAGAGTGCAGGCCGGTTAAGGGATTGAGCTATATGCACTATTATTGCAAGAAGTATTCCGAAATACCAGAAATAGGACGTAAGCTCTGATCAGGGAGACTGCGAGCACAATTACCTTCTTTTCAAATCCTTCTGTGACACTGCGGGAGGAAAAAGGACTTTGAAACTTGAAAGGAAAGAGCTTGCTTTCAACCTCAAAAGCTAGGAGGAAAGGGCTCTGAAATTTGCTCAGAATTCCCAATTCACCATTAGCCTGTTTCTTCCTTTAGCCTCAAGGCATTCTCCGCTTTTTGAAAAGATGTTAAGAAATTCAGTCACAATAGAGAGCCTAGTTTTGAACATGTTTCACTCGGTCCATTGAGGTCTGGGCTCCAGCCTTTGTGTGGGGTGAATTGAGCTGAGCGGCTAGCTGGTTGGAGACAGGTGAATGAGGAGTCGCTGTGCAGTCGCAAATTCTGGCAAAGAAAGAAGCTCCCCCCCATCCTTTATTTTACAATATGCATTCCTGTACAACCCTGCTAGTGGTAATACGTGGAGTTGAGCCTGTTCTTAAGTCAATACAGAGTACTTGGTTTATAGCAACTCTTGTTAAGTTTGTCTTGTAATTGAAGCTGCTGTTGACCTTGCTTGGGGACCATTTGTAAAACCGTTTATTTAGCATAAACTGAAATAATAAACCCTCCTTCTCTCGGGCTGATTGTTATAGGGTGACATTAGTTTGATTTAATGATTAGCCGCCTGACCCTTTTGCTGGAGAGAGGGGCTTGAATAGAGAGAGTTCACTCGGAAGCACTCAGAAAGAATACTAATGAGCTTGTTAAATTTAGCATGGCTCCAACCACTTTTAATTCATCTAATGGGAGCAGCACTGCCTGGGAGAGGGAGAGGGAAAGCAGGAGGCAGGGAGACACCGAGAATGTTCCTAGAGGGTCTGCACACTAGAGAAAGCCCACCAAGAGAAGTTTGCAGAAAGTAGCTAACCAGAGCCTGGGGTCCGAGTTGTAAGTATTGCCCGTTGTCTTATACTCTGTGTCTTTTCTTGTCTTGGGGGAAGAGAGGAGTAATGGTGTTAAAACGGGATTTAAGGGAGCAGTTTAAAAGTCGATGTTAATTTAAAAAAAAAAAAAAAGCAGCCACGTGCATGCACTGTGAGCTCCTAATCAGCTTATTTTGCTAGGGCGACGGGGTGTTCCTAGTCGGTGATGCGGTGCAGAGTTTTATTTTTATATTGGAAGAACTGTCTGAAACTTTTATCTGAGGAGTTTGTGAGGACGTGCCCAGGAGTGTGTGTTCGAGTCCTGCTTCACGCAGCGCACTTTCTTCAAGCCTTTACCGTGAATGGTGTAAGCTACGTGCTCAGCAAAGCGACTTTTGAGCTTTCAGACTGAGGTCATAGCACGAAGACTCGACTTCGGTTGCCTTTGGACGAGTTTGGAAAGTCTGGGACAGTTTGTAAAATGTGATGGCTGGGCAGCTCTCCATCTGGGGGCAGGACTTTGTTAACTTCCACTAGAATGTGGATATACACAAGGAGGGAGGTACAAAAGGGGGATTATGATGACAGTATTTAAAATAATTTTTCCCCGAAACTTTTTAGTGAATTGCATGTTTCCGTGTGACCACCCCCACCCCGCCCCAAGTTAGCAGCTGTTGAACATAGAGAAGCACGAACAGTCCCCTTGTGTTTGGCCGTTAAAGTCCATTGGCAGATGCTCCTGGAGCACTGGGCTGTTTGCTTACATTTTTGCAGCCGACTTCTGCTTGTTGCCATGGTGGACAGTATGTTTCTGTCAATAATTTGGCCTGGCGTTGCCTGTCTGCACTGACTCTCAAACTTTATTGAACAACTCGGCACAACTGAACAAGATTAGACAGCTTTCGTCTTTTGGCTGACTGAAAGGGTTGCTAAATTTATAAGAGCAGGCAGGAGTATTGCTTGGAAAGTTTCCTTTTCACTGTGGAGAGCGTGCTCTCCAGCCTCAGAGCTGTTTGTATTCTGGAGCGTGTGTACTGTCAAGTTTTGATCTGAGTGCCCGTCAGGAGCAACTTAGTACACAAGGTAAACTTCATGAAATATTTGTCTACTGGAAGTTTTTGGAGAGGAGGGGAGAGTAGGTAAGAGTGTGTTAGCGTCGACTGTTGTAAAGTCAGTCTGATGAAAGTTGCCATGCTCAAAAATTTCGTGCCTGCTGTTTACTAAGGCAATTAGTTATAATTTTTTCTTGTATTAACTGTTTAAGCTCTGCTTATTTCTCATTATAACTTTCATATTCACACACATTAGTTTAGCTCTCAGTAAGAAAATAAAGTTTCGTACTTGTGAAAAAATCACTTAGCTGAAAATACACCCCATTTCGACTCCCCCCGTCCACCCCGCCCCACCAATTACTTCCTTCTCCCAGGAGGCTGGGGGAACCTGGGAGGACTCTGGTTAGACCATGCCAATTATTCAGTTATTTGTGAAGTTGGATTCAACTGCTCATCATAAAGGCTCGGCTTCTAAGAAACTCTATTATAGGGATGCAGGTTTAAGAGAAGAAAAGTTAATTTCTTCTAGGAAGATTAAGTCAAGGGAATCCTGTTTTCAACTTGGAACAGATTAGTGGAGCTTGGTTATTCATCTTAACCAGAGAATGCTAATTAATGTGTCGCAGTGGCTCTTGGTGAGGACTCTGGTTCTCCAGACGAAGGTCCATTCTACAGAATTTGCACCTAAGTGCTACAAGTTCACTTCAGGTTGAAATTGGAAATAAAGATTTTATACAGGGGCAAATTAGTGGAAAATATGACTTTGGCCATTGGTAGGTTATAGGAATTTTTATAAAACAGACTAAGAGGTTTAATGTTTTTAACACACTTTTGCTTTTACATAACTGAAACCCTTATTCTATAGCCTGCAACTTTATTGCTAATGAAGTATGAGGGTGGAGTGGTGCCTAAAAGTATTAGTCAGAAGGGAAAATAAAAATGTAGGGGTTTTTTTGGGGGGGTACTTTGTTTTTAAATTAGCAAAAGCATGGTTTGAATTGCTCTTGTAAAGATCGATGTGTGAAAATGTGGGATTACACCCATTTTTTTTCCTTTTCAGTAGTTACTTGATAGATTAAACTCATCATTTATCCCATAATTACAAGATTTGGTGGTGAAGATCTGCACAAAACAATGCTAAATAATGTTTTGCAGTTATCCTGCAGTAGTCAGCAAATTCACTGTAAAGACCAAAGCATACCTCATTGTCTATTCTGTTTTGCAAGTCATTTGCTAGACTGAAAAACAGAACAAAACATTGCTTATTTCTTCCAATCCCAGACACAAGCAGAACGATTAAAATTGCTCCTGGCTTTGGGTAGTTCAAGTTATTAGTATCACAAAACATAGTCGTGACTATAGTTTATATTTTCATGCTTGCCCGTGTTTTTGGCTACACTTTCTTCTGAATTTGTACAAACAGCCATGAAACTGCTAAAGCATATTTTCCTGTTTTTTTTTTTTTTTTTAGGGGCTCTCAGCCAGCTATAACTACTTTATGAAATACTCTGAAGATCAGTTTATGTGTTGGGATAAGATGTGTTCAAAATCTGTCCATCCAGAGTGTACAACGCTATTATTACTTACATATATATGTATATTTCAGATCAAGAATGGGACATCATTCTCAGATGTCTGAGCTGTGCCCGAACAGCTTTGTTTCCATCAGCACTTACCTTCCAGAACACAGTCTGCTGATGAAATGCAGAGTTTGTTTGGGAGTATGTAATGCAGAATGTGTGTATGACTCTAACAGATGAATTGGCCCATTTGTTGTGGATTCAGATCACTCGTTCGGTTTAATTTTATGCATGGGCTCTTTGATCTGCTATTCTAGAAAGGTCATCCAATCACATTTGCGGAGAGCCCTAATGGGTAGATGGGAAGTTCCTACAGATCAAAGGGAACGGAAGTATTAGGAAGCTGGAATATTGAATGTATGTGGAATTTTGTCAAGCTGTTTCGTAAGTGTGTGAAGCAGCGTCTGGACCCCAGCAGAGACCGTGCCTGTGTCTGCATCACTGATGCCTTCCTCACCCACTGAGCCATCTTGCTCTGGGAATTAGTCTTACTCCATTTGCTTCTTGGTTCTTGGCTCTGTTCTATGGGCTGCAGAAAGAAGTGTCTTGCAAAGGGTACTGTACGTAGGTTTACCTTTACCCCTCGTAACCAGTGGGTCTTTTGTCCCATTTCTAGCTCCACTAAACCAGTGGGTTACAGATCTGACTTAAAAAAAAAAAAAAAAAAAAAACAGGAAAACTTCTGGATCACACCCACCGATCACCCAGAGGCGCAGTGGGTGTCCCAACTGCCTGATACCTGAACGGCCCAGCTGAGGGACAGGCAGGGGGAAGCTGGACACCCATGGCCTCAGGCTGGCAAAACTTCCAGCTCCACTTGTGACCCGCAGGGATATTGGCAAGTCCCTAATGAAAAGCCTCCCTGGCAGATTCACTTGTAAGCTGGTGATGATAATTTGCTGACCCCCTCCATCTCAACTTAATAGGCTCATTTCCTGCTCCCCTTAGGCCTTCGATTTGTAATTTGGACCCTCATTCATAAGCAGTGTTGTCTGCGGAATATGTCATCATGGTGTAGCTTTCAAAGTTGCCATGAATGAGAAATAGGGCTTCTTTTGGGGAGGAGGGATGGAGAGGGAGACCTAATTGATGACTGTTCTTGGATTGCTCCTTCAAGTGGCTCACAGAGCTTCCATTTTCCTTCTTTCTTCAGAGGATGAAAGTCCTGGACAGACCTATCACAGAGAGAGAAGAAACGCAGTCACCATGCAGCCACAGAGTGTCCAGGGGCTTGGCAAGATCAGCGAGGAGCCTTCGACATCCAGTGAGGAGAGGGCCTCACTGATCAAGAAGGAGATCCATGGGTCCCTGCCGCACCTGGCCGAGCCCTCAGTGCCATACCGCGGGGCCGTGTTTGCCATGGACCCCCGGAACGGTTACATGGAGCCTCACTACCGTAAGTGGTTCCTGCCCCATCACCCTGGTTCCGGGAGCCATGGAAGGCTGCCCACGCGCTGTATGAATTATTGGGCTGGTATTAATTTATACCAATGTTTAATTTACTCTCCATTTTTTTCTTCTTTTTCTTCTCCTACGTCCTGTCCATTCCTCTTTTTAGAGAGAGCCATTTTCTTACGTCTCTAAGCCAGTCCAAGCCTCTGTGGGGCAGCCTTCAGGAAGGTGTCCATCTGTGGCTAATCCACATGGACCTTTGCTGGGAACGAGAACCAGATTTCTTCCACCCAAGTAGACACTGCAGGAGCAAAATTGGTTGATGGGGGTAGTTATTAAAGTGGGCTGCCCTGGCAGAATTCCTGAACAGCATCTATCCCCATTTTGAATGATTTTTTTTTTTTTTTTTTGCTTACTTGTTGAGAATGAACGAACTCCTTTGGAGCAAATCAGTGCTAAATTCCTTAAATGTGGAAGATTTTTCTACACGTTTTACTTTCTTCTCTAACTGGCAGACCGGAAACATGGGAAGCTCCTTTTCCAGCACTAATAAAGTTTAAGTAATTCACTAGGACTCAGAATACAAATATACGATGGCTTTCTCCAAGAAAAATGTATAATGGTTGACTTTATTTGTGGCCTGTTTCTAGTTAAAAAATATATATAATTTGGTTGTGGAAGTAATGAAGTTCACATTGAGGTGCCAAAGCTGCAGCTCTTGATTACAGATTTATCACCTTGCCAGGATACAGACTTGCCATTTAACCTTCCCGGCTCCAATTCCAGATGATCCATTGAGCTCCAGAGAGGGGGACTGGTTTGTGTTTCCCTTTTTCCACATCATTCAGAAATTTTAGTGTTTTAAGGCAAAAGGTCATTAGCCAGATGACTGATTAGCGAGGACAGCTGATTAGTGCCTTTTTTTTTTTTTTTTTTTCCCCTCAAGAAAGTGCCCAGGATAAAAGCTAATTTCATCCCTTCGTTAGCTGACTTGTAGCAGAGGGGAATGTTCCCTCATCAGGGTGCAGATCAAAGAGCCTGGAGCAGACTTACGTCTCAGCAACTGCTTTCGCCCTGACCAGATTACATTGTTGGTAGAGATGGAAGGTACATTATTTCTTTAAGTGGTCAGAAGCATGGAGGAAAAGGTTTTATGGATTCTTCTAGGCTTTTCAAAAAGGCTACAGCTTCTCTGATTAAAAAGCATTTCTCAGCCCTGTTGCTACAGTTGTTTCTACAGATCCAGAAATGAGGAGGAGGTGGGTGCTCACTTCTTTTTCTGTCTTTGTTGAAGTTTATTTCATTTTCTTTTAGGAGCGAGAGTTTACAATAACGTTGGCAAAATGTTTCTCTGAGCACATTCTTGTTTTCTATATTGTATTTTTATTTGCGAGTCTCTATTGGAGAGCTCCGTGCAGAAGATGTGAGGGAATCTGCGAACTTCCTCCCTACTAAGACTCCCTGAGTATATTTACTTTTTTAAAAAGAATCGATCTAGTTTATTAACTACAGGTTCCCTGTCTTGTTTTCATCCTTATGTGTGAACACAAACTTTCCCATCTCATACTTATGTTTTGCTCTCTGTTCCAGATGCCCACTAATAATTGAGGTATGTAATTGGGCAGGACAGCTGACGAATACTTCTTTTCTGGTTGATGGAAGTAGGCAGATGATCGTTAACTTTCTCTCTGTGCCATTCAACCTGCAGCTTGCTCTTGGTCCGTTTCTTCTAACGGTTTGCCCATTGACTCTTTTCCCCTACGTTTGAGGGATAGGCTCTCTGCACACCTGGGATCCTTGGCACCTCTTGGCAGCGTGCGTTTGTGACCCATCCCTTGGGCCTCAACATTAACTACCTCAGGGCACTGCAGAGCTCTTAGTGGGGCTTGGAACTGTTCTATTTAGAGGACATAGACCAGTACATTGGATGCTCCTTAACTTTCCCCGCTGTATTGTTCAAGGCATTGTTAAAACTGCATGATGACTGACAAGCTATGGACGCTTGCCTGTAACCAACTGGCAGATGCCATTTTGACCCACCATCCCAATGTACTCCCTAAATTGGTCATAAATAAATAAATAAATAAATAAATGAGATCCTTACATCTACAACATGGATGGGGAGTTCTAGAGACCACACAGATTGGATTACCATTTAGGGGATGGGGCTCAAGCTCCAGCTTTGCCATGTAGTGGCTGTGCGGCATGGCCAGGTGTGCCGACCCCACTAAGAATCATTTCTTAACCATTTATTTGGTGTTATAATGTGACTGCTCTTCCATGGTGTTTTCCTGAGAATTAAGTGAGACGACGCAAATATGGTATTTAGTAAAATCTCTGGCTCACGGTGAGTGCTTCAGATCATTATGGCACCTGTTTTCCTGTGCCTCCACTTCCTCCTGTTCCTTCCATTCCATCATCACTGCCGTCATTACCATCATCACCACCATCCTCGTCATCGCCACCATCATCACCATTGTTGTCACCACCACCCCCCTCATTGCCACCACCACCACCATCACTCCCATCAGCAACAGCACCACCACCACCCCATCATCACCACCATCACTGTCACCACCACCACCATCACCACCATCAGTACCAACACCATCATCACCATAGTTGTCACCACCACTACCACCACCACCATCACCCAATCACCACCACCATGACCGTCAACACTGCCACCATCATTACCAATACCACTACCATCACCACCAACACCACCACCATCATTACCACCACCATTACCACCATCACCATTACCATCATCACCAGTGCCAGTACCATCGCCACCATTACCACCAACACCACCCCCATCATTACCACCACCACCACCACCACCATCACTACCATCACCACCATCACCACCAGTGCCAGTACCATCACCACAAACACAACCCCCATCATTACCACCACCACCATCATCACCACCATTACCACCATCACCAGCAACACCATCACCAGCATCACCAGTGCCAGTACCATCACCACCATTACCACCATCACCTCCATTACCACCACCATCACCACCACTATCACTATCCTCATCACCATCACCACCATCTCCTCCAGAACAACCGAGCTGTTTTTGTTAGTGCTGCAGTCCTGTGTATTTCTCTGCCTCCCTGAGCTCTGTGTCTTCTGTAAACAGATTAGAGATCGAGTGGAGTGTAAATCTTAGGAAGAGGGTTGGTGTAGTCAGCACTGTGTATGGTGGCCTTCTGAACATAACCTTTGTCCCTGAACCTTAGTGAATTGACTATATTTTTTTTCTATTTTGTGAGTGAAGAAATATTAAAGCTTTTAAATGACTTTGGGAAGTTTTAAACTTTTAAATATTTGTATGTATTTGTATGTATGTAACAAATACAAACTTAATATACTTGGAAAAATGAAAGCTGCAGAATTATCCGTATGAAATATTTTATTTTATTTTATTTTTTTAAAAGATTTTATTTAGTTGCTGGAGAGAGAGAAGGAGAGCAGAGGCTAGAGAGAGTGCGCGAGAGCACAAGCAGGGAAAGCTGCAGGCGCAGGGAGAAGCAGGCTCCCCGCTGAGCAAGGAGCCTGATGTGGGACTCGATCCCAGGACCTTGGGATCATGACCTGAGCTGAAGGCAGCCACTTAACCGACTGAGCCACCCAGGTGTCCCCCATATGAAATATTTTTAAAGATATCCTAAACTAAGCCTCAAGGAGTTAGGTAGGTTGTAATGCTACTTTTTCTAGAACTCTGTTGGATATTTTAGTCTTCTACCAGTATTTTTTTGGTACTTTATAATAAAATCTGTCTAGCTTCTCGGATTTAATTATCCAGGGAAAGCTAATGAATGAACAACACAATGCTGAAGTTGATAGGTCCTCCAGAAATTTTTAGTGTATGAGAAAAGTGCGGTCTTTTTAAAACAAGGCATGCAAGTTCGATCACGTTCTATACTCGTCAGTCCTGCAGTGAAACTCTCAAAACACAAGTTTGCTGCAGACCTTCAGTGGCTCAAGGTTCAGAAACATCTTTGTAGGCTGTTCCCTTTTCCTATGAATCGTGTGCCAACTCCACCAGGTTTTTGGAGAAAAAAGACTCCTCCAATCCAGTGTAGCTGGGCATGGGAACCCTCCCAGGAATTCCTTCATTTCTCTGTGGTTGGAAAATGTGGACTTTCCAAGATGCCTAATTTGTGCTTCTATATATACTGACTTTGTATTTCTAACGTGTGGGCAGGCTTCCTGTAAGATCGGAAAAGGGAAAATTGTTTCTTTACCCTCAGAAGGACATCTGTACAATTTTTATTGCACAAGACTTGATTATCCTTGGGTATGCAGTATTGCGTCTTCACAAATGGCACTTAGGCTGGATTCAAAGTATTTTAGGTTTTGTGGGTTTGACTTAAAAAAAAAAAAGAAAAGAAAAAAGAAATACCAGGGATAGCGGGCACTTCAAACATTCACAACATATGTTTGGAATAAAATCTTCACAGGGGGCACTGGAGGGTATTCTCTCCTGAAGGGTCGCTGTGGAGGGCTTGTATATCAAGGCAAGAAAGTAGGGGGTCAAGCCGCACGGTTCAGATGTGGGGTGATGCTGACAGGCGGGCAGCTGGAGGATCACTAGCGCTTTGTGACTGGGGAGAGCGTGGGAGGGGCTGGGTTTCAGAGACCTGAGTTTCTTGTACCGGACTCAGGATGAGGACCCCCATCTCCCGCCTGAAGATTTCTCAGCAGTCTTAAGCTGTCCCTGCTCTGTGGGTAGCCAGGTATACTTCAAACTTCCATCACCCCTGAGTTCACTCATGCCAGGCGTGTATTCTCTTAGGAACTTGCACAGGCAGGTGACATAATAGTTAAAGCATTCCTGTACCCTGGCCGACGCTTAACTTTTATTCTCTTCTGTGTTACGGAAAACATCTGTTTCATTGTCTTCTGTCTTCCTGCGAGGAGTCTCCCTTTCTGACTGTCCCTGCAGGAGGTTTTGTGGGGAGCGTCTCAGATTCACGAGTCCTGCCA